ACACACACACACACACACACACACACACAAATAAAGCCTGCGTGGTTTTTAGGGGGCCTTTTTTTTTATGTTTGAAATTCATAACTGAAGTGCTAAGGAAGAAATTTAGCCTGGGGCTCACTTTTCTAATCTTAGTATTTGGCTGCCATCTTTAAAAATAGCGGCCATGACTAATGATATGAATAAATGTTGATATCTCAGTACCTATGAGGCCAATTTTGATGTTTTAAATTACTTTAAATAGGTATTGCAATAATCTACAAAGTCTCTTTGTCTTTTGATGAGTAATGGTCCATTGTTTTCCCTCTAACATGCCTCAACAGAGTGACCATCAAGGCCAAAGTGGCTGTCATTTCCAGGAGACAAGACCAAGACAACTGCGATTCTACAGGGTTGAAAAGAAGAAAGAGAACGCCCACTGAGAGCCAAGGGTGAGAATGAGGGTTTAACATCTAGGTTGCACTTAGGATGTAGAGGAGATAGAAGCCCCAAAAGAAGAATCAGGCCCGATGCATCTGAGTCAACACACAGTGGAGCTGACCACCTCCCAACAAATTATCCTTTAACACCAAGAAGTGGCAGGCAAGAATCAGGTGACTTTCACTGAGTGTCTGAACTGGCTGAGCCTGCTTCTCCAGGGCCCAGTCTGGCTGGACACAAGACCGCTGGGGCCTGCGGCCCTATCCTGAGCCAACACAAGCCTGCCCAGTTATTGCCAAAAAATATGGGTATGCAAATTACGTGCTCAACTGCAACCACAAAGATTAGAGGTTAGTTCTGAGGCAATACTGGCTCACTAGTTAACTGCCCATGCACTTTTCTGAGTGATTTAACCATGTGAAAGGGTCCCAGCATTTACTGGATATCATTGCTTTTTTTAAAGCAATGTTGTGAAGTGGGAAACATAAACATTAAATGATATGCACAGCCTCCAAGCAAAGAAATTGTTATATGTGTGATGGATTGGTGCCAAGAAATTGCTGACCTGAAGATGCCATGATTCAGCTGATTGGAGATCAAGCAGGGTATAGATATATTGAAAAGGCCCTTTGTGAAGATGAGGAGACACAGCCTCATGTAAAAGGGGTACTTGGTGGGTTTCACACAGAAATGTTCTAAATGTCTTAATGCTCTAGAGAGATATGCAGTTAGTGGTCCTGAAGAATTAGCTGCTGCTGCAGGAGTTGTGCCTGCAGATAGTGCACATAGAGCATTTTTGGGTAAACGTTACAACAGAGGAAAGTGCCTCCACAATCCATTGTAGGGCTGTGCAAAACACCATTGTTTTGTTTCAAAGTCCATTTCACCATTTTGAAGGGACAGTGTTTCATTTTATCATTTTGTTTTGTTTCGAAGCCTAAAATTTTGTCATTTCTTGCTTGATTCAGATGCAAATTGCAGGGATGGTAGCCTGTTCTGAGAGCATGAAGCCTGCTAATTTTAAAGGAGATAGGTGTAGAGGTTTCTGGGAAACTGCACCTCAAACTGTTCAAAGTAAAACTCGTAACACTTATCAGCAGCAGCAGCCTCCTGACACCCAGCACACAGATCTGGGGGCCTGTACCCCTGGGAGGGGTGCAGGGCTGTGCTAGCTTCCTCCCAGGGGTGTGGGCCCCAAAATCTGCACGCCAAATGACAGGAGGCTGCTGCTTCTGCCTGGGATCAGCGCTGGGCATGGCCCACGCCCAACACCAGGTAAGACTGATGCTGCCATTAGCCCCAGGCAGCAACGGCAGCCTCCTGTTGTCTGGCATGCAGATCCAGGGGCCTGCACCCCTGGGAGGATTCCGGCAGTGCTGGGAGGGCAGGTTGAGCTCCATGGGGATGGTGGAGCCAGTTGGAGCTCAGCCCTGGCTCTCCCCACCTCCTGCCGATGGGCTGTGCTCCAGGTGGCTTCACAGCCCCAAGGAATCAGCCTGGCAGTGAGAGGCAAAGCACAGCCCTGGGTCTCCCCGCCCAGAGGTGGGAGGCAGGGAGAGCCAGGGCTGCACTCCGAGCGGCTCTGCTGGCTCCATGGAGCTCACCCTGGTTATGGGAATTGGGCAGAGCCAGGGCTGCACTCCACCTCCTGCTGCCAGGCTGAACTCCATGGGGCTGCAGAGCTGCTCGGAGTGCAGCCCTGGCTCTTCCCTGCCTTCCACCACTGGGCTGCTTTGAAACACAAAATGTTTTGAAACCTTTGAAATGTTTCAAGTGCCCTCATTTCATTTTGAAGCTGTTTTGAAGCTTTTTGTTTCATTTTGATTTCGCTGTTTTGAGCTCAAAATGTGTTGAAATGGCTTCAAAATGAACCACTCAGCAAAATTTTGCACAGCCCTAATCTGTAGATAGCTCCAAAAGTCTCCTCTAGTAATTGACAGCTTGAAACAGCTGGTTGATATCACTACAGTAAATGAACATTATGAATTCATCAGTTAAACTGCTTTTTAGGAATTGATGTGCTCAATGTTTGAAGAAATACTCAGTTGTGAATCATATATGGCCAAGTAGTTTCTGTTTTATATCATTGATGTTGAAATCCTCTTTCAAGATTACCATTGTCTGAGGAGTGGAGAGAATTTTGAAGAGTACTTATTGACTTGCCATAGATTGTTTCCACTGTTAACAGCTTATGGAAATGTCAACTATCCAAGATAACTGTCCTTGTATTACTGGTGAATGACAACACTGAGAGAAGACAAAAAGGTGCACATGGCTACAATGTTTTAATTTTCATTAACTGGAAAGACTTACAGCAAACTTCCTCCAAACCAGGTCATTGAAATGACCATAAATAAGAAATTCAAGAATGGAAGGAGAGGGGACTGGATTGGTTTTACCAAGCATCTATACATGGTTGCAATCAACACACTCAGTAGACCAGTTATTATGCAGTTAAGGGAAAAATTAAAGTAAGTGGCTCATTTCAAGCAACTCGTATTGTCATCCAGAACTAGGTCCATCAAGAATGGAGATGAACTGCAAGGTTGTTGATGCAATGAAGACAGCTTTGGAAGAATCATGGGATCTGAATCAACCAACTCTTTTCTACCTTTGCTCTGGAGAGCCAGCAACAGAAGGGGTAAGAAAGACCCTTCACATAGCCCATGATGAGGGTTATATGATGGTAGAAAACATTCTGGAAAGACTTTCTTCTGGAACTCAGTCAATACATGACACTATCACAACAAGGAAAAGCAGGTCCTTTGCAACAAAGACAACTGCAACTAAGAGCAAGCAAGAGTGTAGGAAAATGGTTGAGCATACTGCAATGAAACAAGTCAGTGACCTTCTAACCAGTGGAAAAAGAGACTACCATTACTTTAGAAGAAATCTTGCAATACAGAATTACTTTTATGATGCTTTCATTTTTCACAGCAGATGGGACATTCCACACACCTGTCAAAACAAAGTATGTAACATTGATGAACCTCTAATCAATCTCACCACCATCACACTATCATGAATTAATAGATGTTGGAATGATATAAAGTCCCACCAAGCAAAGACATGGTCTGAATATGCCCTCAGTCTCTTCAAGTATGTCACTGGCAGACACCCACAAGAAGTGACATTTCACTTCATTTATGATGTTTATGATGAAGATTAGTTGTTGAAGACTAGTACAAAACAGCATGAGCATCAGCATCACTCAAAGTCATTCTGGTTTGTTCCTAATGTCTACCCTGTTTCTGTCTAGCAGATGCCTACTGGAGCATCCTGGCACTCATTTCTATCAAAGCATTCTAACAAAGTAAGACTACAGTGCTTCCTTTTGAATGAATGGCATTCTTACTTCCACCATGCTGACCTGTACTTCACAATGAATCTCATTTGCTATGATTTAACATCCAGAGAACACAATGCACTCTTTGTATTGAAATCTCCTTGCGAGGCTGGCACAAGGGCTGTTTTCCATGCAGCTCAAATAGATAATGCCTACACCAGCATTTTTCATTTCAAAGATACTGATGTATGGGTTGTTGCTTCTTACATCAGTCATATGACTGAGCAAGATATGTACAAGTAGAAGAAGAAACCAGGAGATGCACCATCACACTACTACTGCCATTTGTTATTTCAAAGTGTGATGTAGTGTCTGCTGCTCTTGGGGTTTATGGATTCACTGGAGTAGATACAGTGGTAGGTTTCTTTGGCTGTGGTAAAGTGATATTAATAAAGCCAATCTTACAATCAAAAGATTTGATGTACATGGAGACTAAACAATAACTTGGAAAAAATGAAGAACTCACTGAAGATCTGTTTGATAAACTGGCGTTATTCACTGTCAGAATACTTTACAATGATCCTGTGAGTGATAGTTTGTCCACTGCTCATGCATGTAAATGGAGACAAATGGCACACTAGAGTTCTGCAAGACTTTCTCAGGACTATCACTCCTTCAAACAGCACTGCTTCTGAGCACACTTGCAAGTCTATGAATAGAGAAATTCAAAACATTCACAGACTCTTGATCGAATAAATTTTGGGTGGATGTCAGTGCTGGATGAGTTGGAACCTGTGACGCATACTAAAAGTAGACTGCCAATGGAGTGAAACTGCCTCTGAACAATGAAAATGGACATTTAAATGATCCAATTAAAGCTACTGTTCTAGAGTTGTAACCCATGCCAGCATGCTAAGGCTGGGTGATGCACTGCATTTTTGGGTCCTCAAGGTGCCAGTAACCCTGGGAGCCCCTCAGGCAGACTGCTAACTGAGGGGTCCCATGAAGATGTATGTCCCTCACCCTCACCAGTCATAAATCAGCTCTGAACCCAATGAACACATTATTCTTTATTATACACAACCAATTTATATATAGGAAAAATAAATAAAGAAATATAATAACAATTTTTAATAACAAAACTAACAATCTAGAATAAATTCACAAAATACAACATCAGGTGAATAATTCCAGCACACTGAATAGTCCCACTTGCGCTAACTACCTAAATAACTAAATTCACCTCATTATAACTCTTTAGAACAGTCGTTCCCCCCTCTCCCCCCCGCATAACCCAGTTGATTTCTTTCTGGTCACAATCCACTTCCCATAACAATAAATGGCAACACAGCTATAACTATGGTTCACCACTAGATGGTGGAGGCAAGGCTTCTGTTGTTTTGGGGGAAATGGACTCCTTTAATCCTTTCTGGTAATACAGTGAAATGAGCTCGGAACAGCTGCAGGCAATAGGCTCCCTTTTGTTCTCTTCTGGAAATACACTTCCTACAAACACTAATGATTAGGTGTCCCCTCACACATGCATGCTGGTTTGTGGTCTCTCAGCCCACTCCTTCTTGGGGCTGTCTCCCCCTCCCAGCACATCCACCCACAGGCTGGGGCATCCTTCTGCAGGTCTCTGATTCTGCAGCTGGAGCCTCTGTGCTCAGAGAGGAGTTTCTAGCTGCAGGTCTCTGACACTGCAGCATCTCTCAGCTCCAGCAAGCCTACCAGCTTTGCTTACCAACCCCTCCCCACTCTTTCCCTGCCACCTGTGTCCCTGGTTGCACAGATCTAAACCCAGTGGGGAATCAGTTTCTCATGGGATGACACAGGCTGTCCCCTGTCCTGATGCCTGCTCCCTGGGAAAGTTTCAGCTCAGTCTCCCCTTGCTGGGGTCTGAGTCTCTGCCCTGTCTCTCCAGGGCAGCAGTTGTCTCCTCCCTAGCATTTCTTCTTGTTTTGCCTCCCTCAGATTTTTATGGCTCAGTAGCAGCCAATCAGAGCTCTCAGCTTGCAATGGGGGCTCTGGTCACAATGCAAACACTCCCAATAAAAAGCATGCACCATGCAGAGCATACCCTCCTGTCTGGTAAAGCTATTGGACACTCTGCAAAATTTCTGCCACCTTTTTCTTGCAGAGTTCTTAAGCACAGTTCACCCACTCAGCTTGCAGCCAGGTGAGCTTTGCAGCTGTTACAGAGTCATCTGAAGAAAACAATGATACAGAAGAAGAATACCTAGATTAACATTATCCAGTGTATGCCATGGCACAGACTTGACTTCAAATTTGAGTTGAAGCATTTTATTTTACTTAAATGTGTTCCATAATCATTTGTACCTTTGTTATTAATAATATTAAATGTGACTTTGAATAGATAAATGGTAAAACTTTCTATTTGAAACAAGTACTCTTATTATGTTGCCAAAAAAGTAGTCACCATTGATGGTCTTTGCATTTAAAGGCTTAGAACTGCCAAACAATGGTCCACTACTCATCAAAAGATAAAGGAAGTTTGTAGGTTATGGTAATAGCTATTTAATATAATTTAGAAAATAAAAATCAACCTCCTGGGTACCGAGATATCAACATTTATTCATCTCTTCAGTCATGGCCAACATTTTTAAAGGTGATGACCAAATGCCAAAATTAGAAAAGTGACTCCTTAGGCTAAATTTCATCCTAAGCAACTCAAAAAAGATTTCCAGTCATACAAAGAGTCCCCTAAAAATCCATGGACTTTGTGTATATATGCCTGGTCTAATCAGCTTGATTAAATTTTTAGGCTGGGACATTGAAAAGATAATAGAAGGCAGGGTATATATACACCTTATAAACTAAACAAAGAATATATATCTGCCATTCTTTCAATCTCTTAAAGTGAGCATAAGGCCACAAAATCTTATATAATTATTTCTTTTTCTTGTTTAAATCCCAAATCCTGGCCTGACCAGGTGCTGAGATCCTCTTTTTCTATTACTAGAAAGAGCACAACAAGGCAGGGCATTCAATGCTACTCCTCTGTTGCAAACCAGCATTTATCATCCACTGTGACTTGCATCCACCCACAACAACATATACCTGACCTGGCTGGAGAATGGATCATACAGTTATACCAGTTTACCATACCCCATGGTGATATATTGTATAATCTGGCACCCTTACAACAATGTAGTTTTGCCATTGTCAAGCTGAGTCAGACTGTGAAAAGGAAATGTAAAAGTTATTTAACTAATTGCCCAAAAAGAGAACAAGGAAAGAAGAAGTGTGGAGGGCACTCTGAAGTGATGATGAAGTAAAGATCAAAGATAATTTAGTTATCACCTAGAAACTATATGATTACTTTGGCTGCTTGTACACGCCACAGGGTTTTACTTCAGTTTAATTCTCCCTAAATTGAAGCGGTGGATTTTTCAAAACACCACTTCAATTTAGGGTGAAGTAAACCCCCTGTGGTGTGTACACAAGGGTCGACCCCGATCCTTACCTGCCTCTCTGGCAGCGGAGGGTGAGGGGGCAAGCTGTGGTGTGTACAAAGGCCCTTTTTCTCCATTTTCAGTTTAGACAATCATGTCAAACCTGGGAATTAAGGCAGGATGCTTAAACATAGAATCATAGAAAATTAGGGTTGGAATGGACCTTAGGAGGTCATCTAAGGTCCAAGCCCTTGCTCAAAGCGGGACCATCCTCAACTAGATCATTCCAGCCAGGGCTTTGACAGGCTGGGCCTTAAAGACCTCCAAGGATAGAGATTCCATCACCTCTTTAGGTAACCCATTCCAGTGCTTTACCACCCTCCTAGTGAGAAAGTTTTTCCCTAATATCCAACTTAAACCTCTCTTGCTGCAACTTGAGACCATTTCTCCTTGTTCTGTCACCTGTCACAACTGTAAACAGTGTAGCTTCATCCTCTTTGGAACTATCCTTCAGGTAATTGAGGACTGCTATCAAATCCCCCCTCACTCTCATCTTCTACAGGATAAATAAGGCCAGTTCTCTCAGTCTCTCCTTATAAGTTATGTGCTCCCAGCCTCCAAACCATTTTGTTGCTCTCCGCTGGACTTTGTCCAATTTGTCCACATCCTTTCTATAGTGGGGGCCCCAAACTGGACACAGGACTCCAGATGTGGCCTCACCACTGCAGAATAAACCAGAATAATTACTTCCCTTGATCTGCTGGCAACACTCCTACTAATGCAGCCCAGTATGGTGTTAGGCTGCTTGGCAACAAGGGCACACTGCTGACTCCTATCCAGCTTATTATCCACTGTACCCCCAGGTCATTTTCTGCAGACCTGATGCCCAGCCAATCAGTCCCCCAGCCTATCCTGATGCATAGAATTGTTCTGTCCTAAGTGCAGGACTTTGCATTTGTCCTTGTTGAACCTCATGAGATTTCTTTTGCCCCAATCCTCCAATTTGTCTAGGTCACTCTGAATCCTAGCCCTACCCTCCAGCCTATCTAC